GGTGGGCCGGTCCGGTTGGATGGCCAGCTGGGCTGAGGCCCAGCGTGGGGGGGGGGGTCTTTCTTCCTTTTTTTTGTTGTTTTGTTTTTGTTTATACCTCTTCCTTTTTATCTTATTTATTTTCTGTTTTAATTCCTTTTCAATATTTAGGCCTTTTATAAAAGCACGGTTCCTTCACCATAATTACCTAGGCATTTATTTGCACACACCGAACATTTTTGTTTTAATGTTTGAAAACTTTTGTTGTTTGCCATATTTCGAAATCAATTTTTGAACCAATTTTGAACTAACGAGATATTAGCAACAGTAATGGAGGTGACGTGGCATCGTTAATGCGGGATTATTGTAGCCTAATTATCCGGGCGTCACAGAAGCCCTGGTTGAAATAATCTTTACAAAATCAAAACCATGTGGAAGATTCGCATGACCATTTTGGTGGTCTGCTGCATGCCTCACCTACAGGAAGCCATGGAATAGTAGAGACCGATAGGAAGCCATGGAACAACAGTGCAACGGAGGTGAAGGGAGGGGATGAGTTGCTTCCAGTTGCTGGAGAAGGGCGGAGCATTGGATAGAGGAGGGCGCCGAGAAGGAGGGGTCGCTTGATCTTGTCGCCACTGCCTCTCGTTCACGAGACAGAGCGACGAGGGTTTCCTCCCCGATCTCATCAGGAGTGGAAGCCTCGCCCAGGGGAAAGGTCGTGGAAAGGGCAGGGCTCCCCTGGTCTCGTGGGCCTCCAAATGCGATGCAAGATCGCTCGGGAACAAAATGGTCTGTGGTTTCTCGGCCCGGGAAATAGGCAGGGATCCCCCGGTATCCTGTGAAACCAAATGAGGCCTTACCGTGATGCCGAAAGCCATCGCCCCGCACTCCGACCACAAAGTCGTGCACAATCCACTCGCTCTGACCTCTATAGCGCCGCCGAACACCGTCCCCCGACCCCGTTGCCCCTACCTTGACTAAGTCACTGAAAGCAGCCGCTCCATCCCTACCCCATCTCCCCTACATAGAAGCCCCAACCACTCCTCCTGATGCTACATAGGTGGAGAGGAGAATGTCGTGTAGGACGCATCCCCAGACGCTTCATTCAGGGGCAGCGGCGAGGAGCCCATCGTTTCTATTTCTGCCTCCTTCATCTCGTGGACACCCGTGTCTTCTTTGCCTGTCCAAGGCTCCATACCAAGACCAGGTTGTGGTTGTACTTGTGACTTCTGAGTCCCTTTTCAACGCCACCCCCCTCCTTTCCATCCCTGTTTATGAGATGTTCATGTGCTGGTATTTCTTAGATCGTCGATCGAGAGAAAAGACTGGAAGAGATTGATTCCCGCATTAAGATCCAAAGACACCAAGGTTTGTTTCTATGTTGAGATCCCTTCTTTAGTTATGACTGAGTTCTCAAAAGATTTCCTTTTGTGATTTATGGTGTCAAGGTTTTTTCCATACAGATGAGGAAAACATAATAGTTAGCATTGATCAATTTGCTACCATCTCATTCATATGTACTATCTTTGACTATTCCAAGGAAGAGATGGTAACTTTGTTTTTGGGCACAATCAGGTTTCTTTCTCTTATGTGCATTTTCTATGGCATTATAGAATATATAACCGTATGTATTTCTTGCTTCTAACCATAATGATTCTTTTGCAGGGAATATTGATAAAACTGAGACTACTAGGAAATGATGCAAAAGATATTGAACCCAGTTTGCCACACCGTATGATGCAAAATTAACAACCAGAACTTTGAATGGTGGACGACGACGATGTTTACATGCTACAAATCAAATGTAAAAACGAGAACAAGATAATATGTGTCATCATGATTATTTCTTGTGGGAGAACAGGGATGATACGTAGGCAATGATACTACCTACGATGAGTATCATGGGTATAATGTGTAGATACTAAACAAGCATCCTATTGTGTTTTTTGTGTTTCTTGGTGTGCCCTTATTTAGCTGGGTCCATGGGAACGAAATGCTTATCGACGCAACAAGGTGTACTTGTTGGCTCTGAGATCTTTGTTGGAAGAAAAATTAAGTTAGTATTTGCTACATAGTAATAAGTTTCTTTTCTTTGACCGGAAAATCTGTGTGAACTGTGAAGGTCAGTTTGGTACTTACACATAAACGATTTCTCTTTCACTTAATTTATAAATTACATAAACTGGTGGTATATATATTCAAGACAGATAAAGTATATATATCCATATAATTTTCTAACATCATCAAAATCATAGATAACATCGGTTATTTTTGGCTATTACCTCATATGTACTCCCTTTGTCAAGAAATATAAAAGTGTTCAGATCTGTACTGTATTGTAAAAGTTGGCTGTAGGGAGCTTGAACTTTCATAGTGGCGGTTAACATATAGACTATGCTGAAAAGTAGACTTATCGTTGTACTTTCCTTTCTTTCTAACCTCTCCTTTTTGCACATCTATGGGTACATTTGGTAAAATGTTTTATGTTAAAATTTCAAAAGTTTGCTTCACTTTGTCAGAAATTTGATGAGCATCTAGACAAGATGTAGCTTGAAAAGGTTAAGATTTTCTTGAGATATCATTGTATTGTAGCTTACTTACTATGTTGGGCCTACTACTTTACATGCACATAGGTTTGCTCTTCATTTAGATTGAATGCGATAAGGAAATTTCCACAAGACAAATTATACTTTATATATGACTGATGTCTTACTCATATTTGTGAAAAAATGGGTCACATTGATGAAGGGGGTTAATTAAGATATGGTGCACTACTATATCTTCCTCTAAGCATATGTAATGTGATATCTGCCCTTATCTATTACGATTGTTGGTTAATGCAAAATATCTCCAACATTATATCGAGCAAAGCTAATATACATGGTGTCCTGCTATCATTTTACTTTCTTTTATTTCTTACCTCAAATTTTTGCACATCTCCAGATGCATTTGGAAAGTTGGTTTTATGCTAAAGTTTCGAAAATTTGCTTCACTTTGTCAGAAATTTTATGAGAATCAAGACAAGTTGCATCTTGAAATGTTGTAACCTTACAAACAAAACATATGTAAACCATGTTGGAAAATAGTAAATGCAAATAATTTCTTAATCCGTCGAGGACTTGATTAATCCTCTTGCAGCTTGGAATATTTGGCACACTGGTACCATTCCATGGATTTTATAGCTTTGATTATAATGGTAACTATGATGCAACATATATTTCTTTTGAAAATGAAATGCAACATCTTTTAATATACGTTTAACCATCTTGCATTTTGCGGAGGAACCATTGCTTCCTATGTTGAGCTATCCACCACTAGCAAAGGACAAAGAGCAAGTAGAGCGCCAGTTTGGCCAAACCAGGTCATACCAAGGTATACACTGATGCTTGTAACTAGTTTGACCAAACCAGGTCATAACAAGGTACACACAGGTGCTCGCACCAGACAAAAATAATCATAAAAATGTTGCAATTTTCAATGGTTAATCTCCATTTTTTGTGCGACTTGTTTCCATATAAGCCACGGAAGATAAGAAGAAGGTCCAAGGGGCCTCTCATCCTCGCTTGAGAGACCACGCGCACCAGCTCTAAGCCTCTAACATGAGTGCATTGTCCCTGGTCATCGCCATAACTAGTATGGCACGTCCTCCTAAGCCAGCAGGTTAGTCTCGTCGTGTCGTTCATTGTGAGGTTTGTGTATTCTTTCACCAGGTGGGCATAGATGCCTTTTTTGTGGCACCAACCCTTGCCCGGTGACTCAACTATGCTCGTGTTATCAATGTTACCACCACTATGACTTTTTTGGCAACTAATCTCACCAGATGGCATCCTGGGCTTCACCTTGCCCTTTCGATTGTCTCTATCTCAGGATTGTTCATCAAGGTGATTGCAACGTCCCTGTCGTGCCTACCACTCTTTCTCCATTTGTAGCAAAAAATCACTTGATCAAAGGTTTCCATCCATATGGCATAGCTCTACTGAACGGCAAGAAACATACCTATGAGCTTCTCCATTTAGAGGGTCTTGAGGTCCATGATTGTCTCAAGCGAGGTGACCACATGCACTTACCATGGGAAATTATGGATAGGAACTACTTGAACTTTTCAATGGATATGTCATCCAAAGCACATCTAGGTCAATGACGAGACCAGACAAGAGCATTGCAATGCATCAAACAAACTCACCGTCCTTGGATGCCTTGATCTCGAAGTATTTGCTCTTGTGCCTTTCTCTCTATTTATTGGCATCTACTTGATATGTTTTGTTACAAACTCAAAGAGACAAAGATGAGCATTGGACCGAGCTTCACGGCAATGCCATCCCAAAGCTGCTCATCCTACTGCCCCTACATTGATGCCATGATTGCCATATCTCGTGCCATCCCATGTAGCAACCATGAGAGCCTATGGAAATAAATAAACAAGCGAACAAGTCATGTACATACACATGCAACATGTCGCGTTATTTGCTAGCTGACGAACCAAGTAAAACTATAGTTCATGCGGAATAATTAACATTGGCTAAGATTGAAGATGGTATGGTCAGTTGCGGGCCCGTGGGAGCGACATGCCATTTCGGCGAAGACCTTCTTTAAGATAGGTAGTGGCATGTAGGAGTTCTTCCTTGAGCCTCATATTCTCGGTGTATAGGCATTGGCGCTCCGAGGTATCCTGAGTTTGTACCATCACCCCTCTGCATTTGAGGCAAGTCTTGTTTTGCATAGCCAACATGATGGCTTGATGTTCAGTTTTTAGCCTCTCATTTTCTACCCAATGATTTTGGGTCTCCCACCGTTGCATCTTGCCCTGCATTTATTAATTTCAGGTATGCGTCATTTTAATTAGTGGTTACCAGAGTATGATACCATGTTCACGAGGGGAATACAATAGTATATTGTAAGATCCAATGACGAATAATGCTACAATGTTAAATGGAGTTTGTACTATTTAACAGCAAAGTGTGCATATAACTGCATATCGTAGGTGACCCATATGTAACTAATTGTGGGAAAGAATGGTATGTACCTTACTGAAGGTGCGTTTGTTTTGGAACCAAAACTTGACCTGCTGGGCACTCATGCCAAGCCTCTCGCTAAGGTCCTTCCGAAGTTTCTCATCTGGATAAGGGCAGTCCCGGAACACACTACAGATCATGTTAATGAAAACGGATTATTACACATCTTCACTAGGTAAGAAACATTGATTGAGTATGTATTGTACGCTTCAAGTTGTAGGATTTGTTCACTATGCAGATGGTGATAATTGGCACGCCTTTTAGCCATTTTCTGCTCACTATGAGTCTCTCCATCGTTGTTATTGTGGTCTGCAGCAACAACATTGGCATCATCAGTGTTTCCCACGACAGTAGTGGCTTCATGCAGACCATCCATCTCATCACTATGGTTGTCCTGGAATAGGTGGTTGTGTTTGCTTGTCATGAAGAGGTCAAACTCATTGTGCACACCACTATTGTACTGCAGCCACTCTCCATCCATGAAAATCTGTTATCATCAAAAAGAATGTTATTCCCCTATGTTGAATGGAAGGTAGAAGTTAAAACCGCACATGAAAGGAACCAAAATGGATATCTCCCGACCCAAAATCCCCACCACCCCGGAGAATCTGAGTTCTCCACCAATCATGCCGTCCACCAGCATGCGCCACCATGGCCTTGAATCAACCTCGTCGCCAAACTGGAGACACCGACACGGGGCCTAGAGGAAGTAATTAAAAGGGAACAACGGACCCGGGGCACCAACAACTCAGCCAAGCGGGAGTGGACTACCTCCACCGCCGATGCAAAAACCGATCGGACGTGGCAACTAGGACAAACCGGGCCCCTACTGGCCCGGCCCGGCCTAGATGGGCTCGTGAAGTCCTCCTACCATGTTGCAGCATGCCGGTTGCCAACGCCGCCGCAAGGAGACAATCGTCGCCCCACCTCCACCTCCAGGGAGCCTTGCTGCCATGTAGAGAGCCGCAGGCCCGCCCGAACCCAAATGGGGTCCAAAGTGCCCAGATCTGGGCCTTGGGGGCGCCATCGGCCGATCTCCTGCACCATCGTGCAATCCCATAGCCAACGGCCACGCCACCGCCCCTAAGGCACCCGAGGACCGCGGGAACCACCCCGCCGATCCGGACCACCGCTGACCGAGCCACACTGCCGCCAGAAGGAGCCCTGCCAAGTGTGTGGGGAAAGACCTACTGGTTGCAGCCAGCACCACGTAGGCCAAGGCCACGATGGACCACGCCGGTGGAGGCAGTAGGAGAGGAGTATGGGGAGGGGGCTAGGGTTCGCCCATCACCCGCGGTGGGGCGAGCGAGCAAACATGGGCGGCTTTGAAATTTCAAAATTCAGATCCCTACTCTTGAGTCTCGACGCCTCTGTCTCACGCAATCCCGATGTTCGCTTCGTATAAACATTACTAGATGAACGGATTCAAGAAATACCTTTGACTTTAGTAGTCGTCTTCCTTAGAACTTCAGTAGGTGAAAAAGTACAGGAGTCTGTTTTGTTCCTACTGAGATATCAAACTCATTCAGCAAAGTAGCTATGACCATCAGAATTTAAAGCCATGAGGAGGATGCAAAATTTATGCCATAGCCGATGATTAATGCAAGCAATAAATTGTATCCAAATATAAGGCTAAGATATGAACGTTGTGGCATGGCCAATATATAGGTCATAATTAATACTCCCTCCACCCAGAAATACTTATCAGAGAAATAGATGTACCTAGATATATTTTAGTTCTAGATACATTCATTTTTATCCATATATGCGACAAGTAATTCTGGATGGAGGGAGAAGTCATTAAGCATATTTGTGGAGTCAATGTTAGCATAGTAATAACAGTATATTGTATTATCAAAACAATAGAAATTGGGTGGTTTAGATTATCAATAGAAAAGAACTACTAAGATCCACAATTGTTTATAGATCTAGACAATATACATGGACATAAAGTTCTTTGCAACCAATACTACATACATAGTAGAAAAATCAGGAAAAGCCTAGAATCTATCCATCAAGTGTCAAGGCAACACAATAGGAATGTCGTCCTCCTCCATGACTAGTAGGCGGTGGTGATCCTCCAGTGACTCTGGCATGGCAAACGGGTAGCACGTCTCATACTTGATGTTTACTGTCGCAGGACAGTAGTGATTGACAGACGGTGCCATGAGGTGATGCACGAGGCTCGTCGGCGAGCCCTCAAATGGCGCTGTGCACTCATAGAAGTAGCAGAGCGTGTGCGTGCATCTGGAACTATGCCCTTCCAGCAAGTGCTGGTCGACGTACCTCTCGCAGCCGAAACTCTTGTAGACGCAGGGAACCTTGCAGGCATCGACCAGGCCGTCCATGAAAGGGGAGTGGCTATAGGGGACGTTGCGCCCGCCGAATGGAGTGCAGGAGGGAGTGGATGTAGGGTACATTGCGCCTGCCAAATGGAGCGCGGGAGTAGTAAACGAAGCAGTAGATGGTGTCCTTACTAGTACTCCCTAGATAAAAAACAAAGTTGGTGATGATGGTGTGCCTGCCATCCTGCAATATAGGCCATCTGGTCTATATCTGACGGATGGGAAGGAAACTATGGAAATTTTGTAAAAATATACCCACAGCCCTCTTCACATTTGCAAATAAGGCCGTGTCTCGTTCATCCTTTTCTCCCACAACCTCATTGCTGAGCAATTAAAAAAGGAAGTCTCTAGAACAATCTGGCATGGTGGACGTTGCCGGCGCCGTCCATCCCCATGCCTTTGCCCAATCCGACCACCAGTCACCACCATGCCCCACTCCTCCTCACCTTATCTCTCATCTTTCTCAAGATATCATTTTTTCGATGAAATTCTCGAGATACCTTTTTCTGATGAAATTCTCGAGATACCATTAGTTTTTACACATGGGATTACTCCTGCATGGGTCAATCACAACAGGTGTTTTGTAAAAAATGCATCTAGATGTTCCGAGCAATGCACGGGCATCTTGTTAGTTTGCATATAATTCCAAACACCACATAGACACGTTCTTTGACCATTTTACAACTATGTTAGTACTGTAACTACGTAGTGGGCGTTAGTGGTCAGCCAATGCATGTTATAACCCCGGGTGTTTTAACCTTTTTTAGTAATGATATCTGGCAATTGTTCGCCCCGAGCCCAATCCTGGCGAATCCCACATAACCGTCAGATTTCCATCCATTGGTGGCCTATTTTTAAGCCATAGTATTTGACAAAACTGCCACCCTTACACACGTACTGTAACTTTTTCGTGGGTGTTTGCAACTGCCATGTCTCCTGGTGAACGTTTGCTGGGGATTGGAGTTAGCACTTGTGGCGGTTCGTAATCGTTCCACGCTCGGGCATTGAAGTTTGTAACTATTTTACAATATACTATTCCTACTCCATTATATGCAAAAAAACTAGGGCATAGTAGTAGGTATTGTAGTTTATTGTACTAGTACTATGATCACTCAAGCATGTTGTCTGGCATCGATATGACCCTATGCTCCTGGGATGCGTCTCGTAAGTCAAGCAGCGTGCTGCTGCTACATTGTCATAATCACATGTCCACTTCCCGCAACACATATTTGCTTCTCCATCCTCGTCCGCACATAATCGTCCAATCTTCCATCCCCGCTAGGCACCTCCCCCCTCTTCCAAAACCCAAGCACTAACAATGGCAGAACCGAGCAACATCCGCCGAAAGAGTGGCTGGAATTCGCTCCCCACACAGGTAATCAAGCTCATTGTTTCACATGTGGATAATCTCAGTACCATGCCGCTCGCCGCATGCTCGCCGGGGTTGTACCATTTACTCAAACCCCTCTGTTCGGAGCTTTTTAAGCCAGCTCTCTGCTTGCTAATGCCGCCTGATCTTCAGAAACGGTGTGTCATACAGCATAACGATCATAGGGTAGCGAGCATCAACCCCCTCGACTGTGATTCGATCACCGTCTCCCTTTACTACATTAACAGTATGTACTGGGTTGGGATGAACACGTCTTGGATGGTGCTCATCGACGATCGCGGCAGCTAGATGCTCATGGAGGTCTACACCCAGTGATTGATCCCCCTTCCTTCCATTAACACTGCACTGCTATGGCACCGCGACCCAGAATACTCGGAATCTTACAGTAGACAACATGATACCAAGTTTGATTTGCTCAAGGTTGTAATCTGTCAAGTGCCCAAAAGATCTACGAATTATAAAGACTTCGGGCCAATTGCCAAGTGCCCATTTGGCGGTTGAAGAACGCAAATCTTCACAGCTTAATAAATTATAGCGCCTAACTGAGCCAGTTAGTTAGATGCGTACACTTGGTGTAGTAAGATGTTTATTTAGTTTGTTGCATACACATGTTCTTTTTTGACATCCCTTTTGTAATGATGGCTGATGTTTGGTTTGGAAGAGAGAGCTGCGTCTTTACTCTTCTGGCCTGCTTACTACTTTTGTTGCACCCCCGGCCCTGGTTGTTGTTGCTGCTGTTTTCAATGTACAATCAGTAGTATATTTTGTCTGTTGGGTGAATAAATGTGTTGTTAGAATGACAAACACAATATTTTGGAAGTCGTTGCATGGTCTGATCCTTTAGTGCCCCGTACGTAGCGCATACTATTTTTGGTACGTAACACATTTACCACTTGTCAATAACATGCAGCCCAGTGATGAAGGCCCAATAGAGGAGCCCATAATTAACTGGAAGGGAAGCTCTCACATGAATCCGGCCCAGGTACATGCTCATGGCCCCCTAAAGATAAGTAAATAAATAAATGAAGCTAAATGCTCATGCACCACTTCTTTAAATTAACGGTTTGAAAAGTCAAATTTTAACAGGAGGGTATTATTTCCTATGAGAGTGTCATTACATTCAGTCGATATTATTCTTAGGCAAAGATAGCGACCAATCTTTTTCCTCCCACCATTTTCTTCCTGCAACCAATGGACCCATGCAAATCATAGTCAACGTCGTAAATAGTTCTGGTCCATTTTTATTTTTCACCGGGACGGGTTCCGGTGACCGCCCCCAAGGGTTTCCAAAGTGTACAGGTTCGGTGACCGCCCCCAAGGGTTGCCATTTGTATGGGTTCGGTGACCGCCCTCAAGGGTCCCTTAGTGGAATCACGGCATCTTGCATTGTGCGAGGGCGTGAGGAGATTACGGTGGCCCTAGTGGCTTCTTGGGGAGCATTGTACCTCCAGACCGCTCCAAACGGAGATTAGCATCTGCAAGGGTGTGAACTTCGGGATACATCGTCGTCTCCACATGCCTTGGTTATCATATATCTTGCTATCACCTAGTAGTTTATCTTGCTTAGCATAAGTTGTTGGTGCACATAGGTGAGCCTAGTTGTTGTAGGTTTTGTGCTTGACAAATTAACCACTAGGTTTATTCCGCATTTGTTCAAGCCTAAACTGTAATTATTTTAAAGCACCTATTCACCCCCCTCTAGGTAACATCCACGATCTTTCAATTGGTATCAGATCCTCGTCTCTC